CTCCTCCATGGGTATTATGGGATGGCAGGGTGGAGGGATGGAATTGAAGTTCCCTGGAGTGATTTTCGGCGTAGAAGTCTACCCCTCCCTTACCACCCACCCCCAATTCTGGTAACACACATACTCGGGGGGCTAGATTCTGTGAGGAAAGGGCCTGGGGCAGGTCATTTGAAAACGTCTGTCAGGTTGTTCTGAGACCCAGCAATACTTTCCACACCCTGTCCAGTTAAAACCACTGTCCCACGCGATGAGTTAGACGGTGCACATTTCTGTGCCCAGACGGAGGGAGTGAGGGGAGAACTGGCCGAAAGGACAGTGCAAACGAGCTGACAGTAAAAGCCCAAGGGCAAAGGACCAGGCACGATAACATTAACACAAATGTTTCAATCAAAAGAAACACGGGGTCTAAAACTTAAGCACAGCAGTCCGGACCGTTAGCTATGGGCAAGTCATCCCAGGGACTTCTGTGGCCCCTGAGGGCATCAGTGTTTCCAGGATAATCCACAGGTGTACCTCCGACACACTGCAGGTTCAGTTCCAGACCACCACGACACGCCGAGTATCGCGTTCGGAAGAAAGTGAGTCACGTGAATTGTTTGGTTTCCCAGGGCACACAAGAGTTTTGTATACACTGTACTGCAATCTATTAAGTGTGCAACAGCACTATGTCTAAAAACACAATGTACATTCCTTAACTAACAGATACTTCATGGCTGGAGGGGGAAGGTAGAGCTCAGTGGTAGAGCGCATGCGTAGCAGGCATGAGGTTCTGGTTTCAATCCCCAGTACCTCCACTAAAAAAAAAAGATAAATCAAGAAACCTCATTACCCCCAAAACAAAAGACAAAATAAAAGATACTTTATTCGTAAAAAATGCTAACCATCATCTGAGCCTTCTGCAAGCTCTAATCTTTCTGTAATAGTAACATCAAAGATCACTGACCACAGATTCCCATGACAAAGAGAAGAATAATGAAAAAGTTTGAAATGTTTTGAGAACTACCAAAATGTGAAGCAGAGACACAAAGTGAGCCAGTGCTGTTGGTAAAACGGCACTTATGGACTTGCTCGACATGGAGTTGCCCCAGACCTTCAATCTGTAAAAACCGCATTTATCTGTGAAGTTCAATAGAGTGAATGATCTAGACAAAAACAAACTGCATTTAATAGAAAGCATAAATAAAGTCAGGGAAACATAAACATTTCTTAATGGATTTCTTTCTAAAATGGAGAGATGTTCTGATTTGACCAAGATTCACTGATTTTGAATGTCTATTCCTGTGAAACTGGCGGATAAAGGGCATCGTTTTGTGGGGAATCAGTTTAGTGGGGAAATGGAACATGAGTTCCACAGTCAGACAGATGCTGGTCTGCGCTCAGGAGGTTTGGTCCTCCACACAGGGAACAGTTAAAATCAGTGAGGATACGAGGTTTCCAAGGAAGAGTGTGCAGAGTCCGAAGAGAGTTTGCTGGGATGGAACCTGAGGACCACCGACTCCTCAGTGACGACAGAGGAGGTAGAAGGGCTTGACAACAAGATTCAAAAGTCATCCAAAAGGTGAAGGAAAGCCTAAGAAAGTTAGGTCACCAAAGCCATGATGAGGGAGTGTTTCCAAAAGAAGAAACGGTCCGCTGTGTCACCTGCTGCTGCACCACGAAGCCAAACAGCTGCGGAGCATCCCCCGAGACACAGCAAAGCAAGAGGACAGAACAGGTCCAAGAGAGACAAGTAAACACGACTCTTTTAAGAGTTTTAGCCGCAAGAGGGAGAACGGAGAGGGAGACTCAGCTGGGGACGAGGGGAGATGCTGACAGCGGGCTTTTCTTAGTGGGTAAGAAAGTCTGGCTGTATGTTTAGATGCTGACGGGATGAGAGGGGAGGAAGCTTCAGGGGAAGCCGTGGGAGGAGGTGCGAGTCACAGCACAGCCGAGGGCCTGGACTCAGGAGGAAGGAGACGAGGAGGAGGAAGCAAGAGAAGCAGAGCTGATGCAAGGACCTCGAGGAAGCGCCACCTTTCCTGAGAAGTGGCAGGTAGCTCGTCTGCCAAAAGTGAAGGAGGCTCCAGGTAGGGGGAAAAGTTAGAAGTGTGAGGAGAATACAGACTTCAAAGGCGGATCCAAGAAGAGGAATACAAGCTCCGCTCTGAGTTCACACCCTAAACTGTGGGCCCTTGTGACCCTGAGAAGTGGCTAGGGTAACACAACACTCTGAATGGCCAGGATTGAAGAACGGGATTCTATCTCTTGTGTTTAACCAGTGTCCTACATAGGTCAGTGCACAGAGGAGAGGGACCTGACTTTGAGTGTGGAACAGCCTGACAGACACTTCCATCAGCAAATTCCAAGAAATCAGTGTCAGGTTCGTATTTTAGTAAAGAGCTAATATGAAAACATGACACTGAAAAATACAATAGGTAATCAAATTGAGAACTGAAATTAAGACAAAATACTACAGTGAAAAAAGGCCTAAGACATTGTGGGTTTCTAGTTAGAATTAAATTTCTAGTATTACATATTCCTTTTCAATTTGTTTCGGGTCAAGAGGTTATTAACGCCACAAAAGCAGTTAATAGAAAAGCATGGTCTAGGACAAAGATGGGTTATTATATTTTGCATGAATGTCTGTTACTGGGAAATTATCAGTTCTTAAAAACAACCATCCCTAGTTCATTAAGGGTAGCCAGTTACCTCAAATCTCATCTCCTATTGTATTTTATTTTCCAATTAGCAGTATTCTACAGACAAGAGTGCAAGTTATAATATAAACTATACTTCTGTGTCTGTAACTACTTAACGAAAGATAAAGGACATTCAGTTTTTTATCCCACTGAATGACACAGAGTTTACTTCTAGGTTTGTTTCAAATTGTTATGCTTACTCATTTTTTTCTTACTCTAGCCTTAAATTTTAACTAAAATCTGTTTTTCAGTTTTATTAAACAGAAGCAGACAAGCAGAATTGTTATTTAGGGATAAGGGACATCTACTCAAAATACGTTATTTAAGAAGGATTCCAACTGCCCAAAGCACACATGAACCATAATATAAGAAAAGGTACAAAAATCAAAAGCACAAAAAAGGTACTTGTGAACTGTGAAGAATTTAAACCTGGCGAGGATTAAACACTGTGGATGAGTATGGATGGAAGTGTAAGGCTATGGGAATGGCTGAGAACTTCTTCCCAGGTCCCAGACCCGTGGTAACGCTGACTGTGTGATTCTGGAACATAGTGATGCTCTCAGGGGCGCTGAAGTCTCGGAGATGACTTGACCCATAGCTCACAGTCCAGACTCCTGTGACTGCTGACTTCACAGATCTTTTTATTTACACACTTTTGTTTTTGTTGTTTTGCCACAACCCCTGCTGTTAAGCTTTTTATAATCACATCCTGCTTAGTCTGTGGCACCCCGTCCTTCCCTGCTGGTATTTCCCTCACTCCTTTCCATCAAGGCACAGAAAAGTGCACCATCTACCATGTTAAGAATGAAGGGAATGCAGCTAATAATTCCAAGCTGAATGGCCATATTTTGCAGCTTCACTTGCAGCCAAGCATGGCCATGGAACGCACTTTGGGTCAGTGAGGTGTAAGCAAAGATGGTGTGTGCGATGCGGGGACAGTGACAACCCATCTTCCCTGCTGTCTGGGAGATGAGTATAAAGGCTGGAGCTTCAAAAGCCACCACAGACAGTGGCGTGCCCTTGAGCACGAGAACAGAACCACATGCCTTGGAAGTGGAAGATAAAAGTAGCCAAGGTCTTCAAGAACTTGGTGGGGCTGCTACCTTCCCCTGAAGTACCTACTTCCAGACTTCATGTGAGAGAGCGAATCCTTAAGCATTTAAACCGCTGACTGAATCTTTGCTGCTCTATATCCAAAAGCAATTCTTCACAAATAAACAATGGAACTAGACTTTACAGAAGATGAGACAGATGAACTTAAGGGGAGAGTCACAGAACAGTATTTATGGGATATTGGCAAGTCCAACAAGCAGGTGAAGAAAAAATACATTAAATATAATCCTACTTAAAAATTTTTTTTAAATTTTGATTTTAAACTTCAAAAAAAGATGGGAATTGCATGTGTTCATATGAAGAGAAAAAATTCTGGAAAGTTGCGCACTGCAGTGTTATCAAGGGTTATAGGCAGGGGGTGAGATTATGCGGAAAAGCCACGTCCTTACTGGTTAGAATATTTGTATTTAACAGTGAGAAGGTGTAACTTTGCAATGAGAATAAAATATGCCATTTATTTGATATTCACGTATCTAAAGAAACAACATATTAACTCTGGCTTTATTCTACGATTTTGTTAAAAATGTTTAAACTACTTGTTATAATGATTTATTGGAAATACAGAATCGATTTATTTTAGCTAACAACAATCTCTTAAGTATTCAAAATATATATAAGACAGAGGTAAAATCTATTTCTTTAATATCTAATTATAAAAAGAACAGCTTGTTACTGGAATGGGCAACGTCATATTGTAATCGATACAATAGTAAATCATCAATCTCGAAGGTGAATATGTCAAAATATCCGGAGGAGCTCTGTGCAAGAATAGCAGGAGTAAAAAAACAGACTCAACAGACTAATAATCTCACATCTTCAAAATCCACAAAGACTGACATAAAAAGGGAAGCTTCCTCCTTTGTATTAAAATAAACTCTGCATCAAAGACTTGCTTGGAGTGATCTCTATACTGAGTAACAAAACAGCAGAGAACAGGAAAAAGTCAATAATCCAGTGCGTGGAAATAACTAATCACCTAAATACTCAAAGGGACCTAAAAAGTTCCTGCAGATAGATGACTGCCTGGATTTACGAGGGGACAAGGATAAGCAACCTTAGCCATGTTTTCTCCTTGGTTCACCCTCTGATCTAGTGACCTGTAATCTACAACAGTGACTTCGCAAACATGCTGCCCATTTGTCAGATCCTCGCCGCTCGACTGACCAGGGAAGAAGTAAGTCTCCCTCTTGGGTCAGGACATGCACTCACCTTCCCACTGGCCTGTCAGCACCAAGGTCCTATTAATTACCACGTCGATTTCCGAGGCTCCATCTTCCACAGCCAATCTGATCTCTTCTAATCGTGTTTTTAAGTGAGTCTGTCCAGCTGGAAAGCCAGTGGCCACTGGTAGAGAGAGAGAAAGGAAAAGAAAGGGAAGGAGGAGACGAGGAGGTAGGAAGACAAATTTCAATTGGTCAGTATCTCAACAGAGACTTTCAGACCCCCAAAAAATCCACATTTAGACCAAAGCATGAATGACACCCTAGAACTTCACGCACATCATGCAAAGCGAAGTGTGAAGAAACAGAATGCGATCTCATTTAGTACTGGTGTTAGGATAAACATTAGTATTACATCCCCTGGAAGACCTAAAATTAAGTTGCTGCAGAGATGCCCCCGAGGGTGCTTTAAGCAAAAGCAATTAAGAAGGTGCGTCATCGAAGTGACAGTCACAGTAGTCGACTCTCACCTTGATGGACACAAGTTAATTCTGGACCCTACTCTTGACCAAGTTGGCTTTCACGGTCATGATTTACTCATTCACATTTACAGCCGATGTAACCAAACTGTCATGTAGGTTCCTCCCACTGCCTATCTTAAAAAGTGAATTGGGAGGAGCAGCGTCAAGTATAAATAAAAGGCCAAAGAAAACACAACACCACTTGTGAAAAAGTATTATCATTTTTAACATGCTTATCATTAATTCCATTTCTGTGTCTAAAAATCACCTTTTAGTTTCCTTGATGTTATTAAATTCCTTGGGTCTGCTACCTTAGAGGAAAGCGTGCTTCTCTGTTGTATAAAGGAAAAGCTGAACTGACCGAGGCTAATAAAAACTTAAGGTTGATAAAGGGCAGCTGCCAAATACTTTGGGAATCTCACAAATCGGCTGTATATAAATACTGTATACTTTGTTTCTTTTGATGTATCCCCAATAAAATAATTTAATGATCTTCTCAGATTCCTTCTTTGACGCACCAGCATATTTCTCTGCTATCTTTTAAAAGCAGAATCTAATTTCATGTCTATCTATCTATCGAACCATCCACACACACATACACATACAGGGGAAGCTTTAGTAAGACTCTCCCCTCCCTCATGCCTCGTCCTCCTACTGAGTCTGACTTAAGTCAGTAACTCTTGAACATACCCTCTCTTCTTTATCTTCCAGGCCTTTGAGTGGCTCTCATCAACTCCCACGTGGACGGTGGCTAAGTCTAACTCCAATTCCCCTCTCTTTAATTAGTGCACTACCATCCCCTAACTTACTATGTCATGAAGCTGATCATGGTGTGCCTCTGTGTAACATGCTTTAGCATCTTTCCGCCACCAAAATAAGCCCAAATGCCACAGCCTGGCATGGTTTCGCCATGTCACCTGGCCCCAATCTGCTTCTCCAGCTTCAACTCCCAGGGCTCTCCCTTTGCCCTACCTCAGGATCCAACAACTGCAAACCAATTTCAGTTCTCTGACCATGCTTCTGTGCCTTCGCACGTGCTGCTCCCTCTGTCTAAAATGCCATTCCCTATCTTCTCCTCCTTCTCCTTAAGACTCAGTGCAGTTATTGTATCCTCCATGAAGCATTTCCCTTACTCCTAAGCATCACCAGCCTCTGCAAAATAAATCACTTCCTGCTCAGAGTTACAACCGTACCTTCTGCATACCTTTATTATTGTATTTTACAAATCAACAACACTACACATCCTGAGTAATAATTTTTTTCACTGGGACTGTTCCTCCTAAACAACTAAGTTTCCTTTTAAGGACAGAGATACAGTTCTATGTTCTTAGGAATTAATATACTGTCTGCTACTCAACAGGCAATTGACAAATACTAAGAGAATGGATAAATACAATCAATTAAATACATGAAACTAATTAAAGTCATAGCCTAAGACTACATAGATCATGCTCCGAGGTGTCTGAGTAAAGAACCGGGGACATTGTGGAGAAAAAACCGAAAACAAAAGCCACCGATTTTACCAGATGCCACTGGGATATCACACCCTGCAGCCTTCAGTGCCTTTACTGCATCACACACTCGAGCCGGGTAGACACAAGCGGCAGCCGTAGTGATGCCTGTCAAGAAAGAAATCGTAACACCCACTTCATGTGAAGTTCAAGCCACACAATATGCTTTTAATTATTACTTATACTTCAACATTGGCAGAAATCAAAATGAGAGAGAAAGTCATCCCCTTACCATGCTGCAACAAATTAAAAGGTTTTTACTTCCCGTAATCCCTTCCAGTGCTTGACAACATGGATCGTTTTTCTATTTCTCATCGTTACAGTTATAGGACAAAACACTCCCGATGTATTGTTCTTAGAGGTTCTCATAGTATCATTTTTAAAAATTCCTTAAGGGTAAGCTTGGTAGTCTCGACTCAGTGAGAACATTTTATTTCATGTAGATAATAAAATACAGGCTTTTATGGCATTCAAACAGGACACTAGATAAAGAAAAATGTAAGTGAACCTTGCAGGGTAACACAGTAGGCAAACCTTGGAGACACTGCAGGTTCAGTTCCAGACCGTTGCAATAAAGCACATATCGCAATAAAGCGAGTCACAGGAATTTTGTGGTCTCCCAGTGCATATAAAAGTTCTGTTTACATTATACTGTGGTCTATTAAGTGTGGAATAGCATTGTACCTAAAAGGTAATGTTCAAAGGGGGAGGGTATAGCTCAAGTGGTAGAGCGCATGCTTAGCATGCACGAGGTCCTGGGTTCAATCCCCAGTACCTCCTCTAAAAATAAAAGTAAATGAATATACCTAATTATCTCCCCTCTGTAAAAAGTAATGTTCATACCTTAAGTGAAAAAATACCTTACTGCTAAAAAAAAAAATGCTAACCATCATCTGAGTCTTTAGCAAATTATAATCTTTTTGCTGGTGAAGGGTTTGAAACATTGAGAGAATTCTAAACATGTGACGAGAGACACAAAGTGAGCAAATGCTGTGGGAAATGTGGTGCTGACAGACTCTCTTGAGACAGGGTTGCCACTAACCTTCAATTTGTTAAAAAAACACACAATATCTGCAAAGTGCATTAAGACAAGGTATGCCTGCGTAAGCAAAATCACATCTAACTAGTCCTAGTCCCTCTTTGGCAAAAAGTAACAAAATCTGGATCTGGAGCCCTCATCTTGAGGAACAAGCTCTGAAATTTTAAAAATTAAGTTAAAAAAGCAAACAGTCACTACACAACAACAGCCTAGGACTTGTACAAAGCTGCTGCTTTTAAGGGCTATAAATAGGAGGTGTTCTACTGTCAACACAAAAGAAACATCATAAACACTTTTCAAAAGCTGTAGGGCTGTTTAGGTCTACAAGTGAACCACAAATTATTTGGGATAAAACACCTACACTGCGCCAATGCAGCATCTCTAGCTGCCCTCATGAGTACGGGCGCCCAGGAATCACAGAGCATCCCTTCACAGGAAGATCTGGCTCCTAAAACTGCCCATTGAGTAACAAGGCACACGGTCTTGGAAACACCATTTCGACTTCTGGGTCTCAGTTTTCTCATCTAGAAACAAAGGCACTGACTCTCAAAGGTCTTCATTTCTACAATGCTGAAGTTCTAAACTTATGGCAACTTCAGAAAGTCCTTTCTTTCATGCATACTAAGAGAATGAATATAACTCTTCTTTTTTCGAAAGATCTAACCCAATATACGAGCGTGTAATATTTCCCATTTGTATTTTATCCTCAAAAGCATTGCATTTACTCACAGAAAATACTTTATGTATGAGATGTGATTATTAAGTAATGAGCCTGGCTTTTTCACATGTGGCTAGGGAATCAGAACCAGGATTTGAGAGTCACTAGATAAAAAATACCCAAAACTGAAGAACTGGAAAGGAAAATAAAGAAACTCTACACTTGCAACTTTAATCCATGTTGGGAAAGAACTGACCTAAAAATGAGACTCAGATTCTCTCTCTTGCTGTTTTCCATAGAAGAATCTCAATTATGTCTCTGTGTACACGATTCTACCGTGGATTTTATTGCTACCGATGATTTAGCAGATGACTCTTAAGTCCTCTTAGATTCAGCAACTGTGATTATAAGAAGGTGAACACCAGGCAGACCACACACAACGTTACCTTTATCGTGCACATTTAAAGCTTTCAAGAGGTCTTCTCGGATGGGATGCTTGGCTTTGTAACAGAGCCTTTGAACGTTGGAAGGTGTGTCATCGCCTGAAAGTGTCGTAAGATCTATAAAGGTAACAGCTTTCAGTAGCCAAGCAGCCTGGTTTGAAGAAAAGTCAAAACAAGGTTTTAAAAAAAATTAATCTCCAGCCTAGTTAGTTATAGCAGAGAACCATCAGGCACACATAGGTGTTCAATTCTCATGTCTAGGCAATTCTAAGGCACATCACCCTGACACATGCTATAGACATTGCTTAAGAGTGACCAACAAGATGCACATGACATAGAATAAAATAAAAGGGAGGAGAGTAGCCTTAAAATGAAATACGGGAGTTTTGTTCTCCCATGAGTAACCCAAATTGAAATCCCTAACAGATCAAGGCTCCTCATGTGTGACTTTTCCATCTCATCCAGAAGGGGTCTTCGATGGCTCCCCTGATAGGAAAACACTCGGGAGCAAGAGTTTCCATCTTACATCTGACCCCCAGCCCTGTGATGTGCAATGAGACACCATAAAAAGAGTCTCTACCTTGCTTCCCCCTCCCCAATTTAATCCAATTCCAATTTTAAAACAATATTCATATTTCAAAACTCATTCCGATGAAGTCCTTTTATCTTTTCATTCACGTTATTTCCAAGGATGAGCAAAATGTGACCTGTCACCCTAAAGGACTCGATCACAAGATCTTGGACTCGATCACAAGATCTTGCCTAACTTGTGAAATGAACTCTGAATTCCTTTTAGTTCCAAGATGTACAGCACATCTTTGGTTGGTGTACACTGAAGAACACGCTGACCACAAGCCCTCCACTAAACACCATTTTTCAAATTTTGAAAAATGATTTAGGGAAATTAATAGCATGGTAAACATGATGGTCAAAGAAGGTCCACTCTTACACCTAAGGGCCTCAACAGTGGACATACCAGGTTGATAGCTTATGGTTTTAATATTAAAACAGAAGCCAACCAAAGGTATGTCTAAGAAACCGAATAAATATGTTGAGAAAATACGCTATTTGATTCACTCATGAATAAAGATGCCTCAAATTCATTTGCGGCTTTGCCACTCAAGAGTGATAAGATTTTTAACTTGTTTGGATTAACGCATTATCTCTCTCCAACCCACCACCACTGTATATGAATTATTAAGATAATTCATAGGCAGCCACAATCTTTTAAGTTTAGATGCATCTCGAGCGAAATTCCATCTCGCGGCCTTGAGGGAAGAGACCGGGGCCGTGAACTCCGGGGAGAGATTCTCTGGAAGAGCTCTTACTTGCCACTCCTTCTTCACGGGTCTGCGGGCCCGGATTTGTTCCGCACGTCTCAGAACTGCCGGCTGATTCACTTGTATTTTGGAGATCCAGCTGAGGTCTAGAGGCGAAAAGAAGAGCACTGTAAACCTCGAAAGCTTTATTAAACGTATTCGCCGGCTTTTTACATGGTCCTTGAAAGGACAGATTTATCCCTTGGTATCAAAGCTCCTTGATAAGAAAAAGAAAAGCTTATGCTTCATTTCCGCTCATCTACAAATAAATAACCTCACTGAAGGAAGCCCAGCCTTGAAAAGGCCCGCCTCATGTTAAAACCAAGCACATCCGGGACTAGAGGAACTTGTACTGATTCATTGCACAGGGATGTCTAACAACGGAGGAGAACGTTGTGCTCCACATGCCACATGCCTCACTTCTCACCGCAGAGGTGCATCTGTGAGTGTCCGGTCCAGGAGAACAAAGGGTTAATAAATACGTCCGTGAATTCACGTTGGGGCTTAAAGGACTCCTTGATCACTACCCCCTTGCTGGTAAGATTAGTATCTACCAGATGCTGATATGACGCAGCCCATTCTTTCCTCAAAGGAGAACTTTTCAAAGTATATTAGAAATTACTGCATTGATGTAACCAAAGCGAGAAACGGGAAAAGAAAAAACAAGCCGTTCAAGAATTCCGGGGAGACGTCTCTGTTGCTTCTGTTTCCAAATGCTCTCTCCTTCCTGCATCCCACCCTCCATTTCCTTCTGGTTGACTGTAATCTCTAATTTAAACTCAGCCTAAACGTTAGCTTTTGTTAAAACAAAAACAAAAACAAAAAAACACTGCCAGCTCCCTAGACAGAACTGACACTTGGATCCACCTCTGCTGCAGAACTTGGATTTAGTCCACCAAGGAGTCGTAAAATTGTCTCTTGTACTTACTACAAGGTGAGTCATGAGCTTACTCACCTTGGAGTGTCTAACAGCAAACAAAGTGGCGCACGTGTGTTTCAACTTCACCCACAGACACTATAACACAGGAGCCTTCTCACCGTAAACTGGACACACATCCATTTACCTTCTATGAGTAAACTCCTGTCTATGCCCCTCTAGCAACCTTATGTTCTTGATGAATCATCTCAGAAGAGTCTTAAGGCTGCTGTGGGAAAGGGGATTCATTAGGACGGATGTCATCACAACACAATTCTTGATGATGTGATGGAGAAAACTGCTGAAGGCTTGCTGTACTGTGTAACCACACACATAATAATAACAAAGTATCTGCATTCACTTCAGAGATAAGACCACCAAGAACACCAGTTTCTACAAAAGCCATTTTCTCTCTCTCTCATTACCATCTGATTCTTCTTACCAAGTGTAGAAATTCCAAATTAGAGTCTGAGCAATAAATACTAATATTCTTATTTAAATATCACTGAAGAAGGAGCCAAGTTTGCATGCTTTTTTTCCTTCCTAATTAAATTATTCTGTTAGTCACAATCTTGTAACAAAACAGATTTTTAA